GTCCAGCTCCTCATCCCAGTCCCTCTTCCGCTGCTCCCCATAGGCCCGGAGCCCTCGCTTGAAGGTCTGCAGTGCTCGCTCAGTCAGCCCGTCGCTCTGCGGGTGGTAGCGAGAGGTCTTCCGATGGGTGATGCCCGACTCCGCCAGCAACTTCTTGAACTCCCCCTGGAACTCCGTTTCCTGGTCTGTAAGCACCTCCCCATATGCCCCAAACCTACACACGACCTGTGCCTTGAAAGCTGCTGCAATGTGCCTTGAGCTCTTGCTGGGGATGGCTCTCACCTCCAGCCACTTGCTCACATGCTCCACCATGAACACGATGTACTGGTTCCCACTCCTGCTTAGGGGCAGCTCCCCTGCCAGGTCTAAGGACCATCGGAACCCTAGCCCGCAGATTGGCAGTGAGTTCAGCTCTGCCTTGGCCTGCGTCAGGTTGGCTTTGCTCCTCTGACATGCCTCACACCCCTCTACCCACTCCTTCACCTGTCTGCGCATCCCTTCCCACCACCAGCCCGTCTTCAGCAGATGTACGGTCCTCTCATGTCCGAAGTGTCCCAGCTTAGTGTGTACCTCTTTGATTATTGCTTCACGGTCCTGTGGCGCTGGCACCAGCTTCCAACCGTCCTCTGTCTTGACCTGCAGCTGCTGCTGGTACCACCTGTAGTGGTGTCCTCGTGCTCTCACTCTGTCAGACACTGCCTCGTCTTCCTCTGTTTCTCCCCTCACCCACTTCATCGCCTTCTCATCCTGCCATATGTCCGCTGGCCCCTTACTCCCCTTGGCACCGACTTGTTCCACTTCTCTCGCCAGCATGATCAGGGTGTGCGCTGGCTCCTGCTCTGTCCCCTCCGTCCCCTGTGTTCCTTGTCCTGTTTCCAGCAGTGGTGGATTACGGGAGAGACCGTCTACGTGCTGCAGCGTCTTCCCCGGCCTGTGCCTGATCTGGAAATCATATTCCTGCAGCTTCACGGCCCACCTGGCGTTCCTTCCCGTCAGCCCTGGTGTGGTCATCAGCCACGTGAGGGGCTGATGATCAGTGACCAAGGTGAACTCGCGGCCCTGCAGGTACACCCTGAAGTGCCCGACTGCCCACACTGCCGCCAGTCCCTCCCCTATGTATTAGCTATACTGCGCCTCTGCGGGGTTGCAGCTCCTGCTGGCGTAGGCTACCACCTTCTCCACTCCCTCCACCCCCTGGCACAGTATTGCCCCCATCCCCTGGCTGCTCCAATCGGTGTAGAGGACGAAAGGTTGGTCTGCTGTTGGCAGCCGTAGCACTGTCGCCGTCTTTACGGCTGTCATGAGGTCTTGGAGTGCTACCCTCTGCTGCTCTCCCCACTCCCATGCCTTGTCCTCACGCAGTATCCCATTCAGCACCGCCGCCCTCTTACTGAAGTTAGGCACAAAGCGCCTGTAGTAGCTGAGGAAGCCCAAGACCGCGCGCAGCCCTGACTTGTCTCTAGGTTCCCTCAGCCTGTCCAGCACCTGTACCTTTGCTTGCTGGATCCCGATCTGTCCCCCTTTCACCTCATACCCCAGGTACTGCACCGTCCGTTCCCCCCACCTGCATTTGTTGGGATGGCATGTGAGCCCTGCCTCCTCTATTGCACTCAGGGTCCTCTCCACGTCCTCCAGATGCTGCTGCTCGGTCAAGCTGAAGATGACTACATCATCGATGTAGCATGCTGCATGTTCAATTCCCCGCAGCACCGCGTCCATGACTCGTTGAAACACCGCCGAGGCGTTCCGTAGGCCGAAGGGCATGTATAGCCACTCGTACAGCCCGTCCGGTCCGTGGAAGGCTGTCTTCTTCACATCTTCTTCCCTGATTTTTATTTGATTGAATCCCTGGCGCAGGTCCAGCGTCGTGAAGTACACCCCGTCGGCCATCTTGTCAAAGAGCTCCTCCGCCATCGGCATGGGGTACCTGTCCGGCACGGTGATCTTATTAAGATCTCTGTAATCGCCGCACATCCTGCGGCTCAGCACCTCTCCTGTCAAATCCTTCCTGGCTGCCACTACCGTCGGGGTCGCGTACTCTGACTCTGACCTTCTGATCAATCCAGCTTCCAGTAACTCCTTTATTTTCTCCCTGCAGATCGCCTCATCCCCAGGCGGCATCTTTCTTCGGCGGTGGAACACCGGCTCATCGCTGCTCAGCTTCAATGCCATCTCCTTGATCTTGCACTTCCCCAACTCCTGCAGGGTGAAAGCGAAGCCCCTCCTGTGCTTAACCAGCAGTGCCAGCATGGCTGCCTTCCCTCCCTCACTCATGCTCTCACCTATCTTCCACTCATGCTCTGCTTTCGGCAAGCAGGCCCATGCCCCCTGCCTCACCGTTGCTACTGTGTTCTCTCCCTCCTTCAGTCCCCAGCGCAGCACTGTCTCTCTCCACATCCACTGCACCAACCACCTCATCACGTACCCATCCATTGCGTTCCCCATTGCCCGCCTCCGTTCCTGTTCAGTGACACCAGGGGCTGCTGTAGCGTTCTCCTTGTACCCCATAGCCAGCTCCCTCTCCAGGGCCGTGGGCTCCTCCCACCTTCCCTTCCCGTGGTCGAGCACTAGTCCTGGGCCTGGCTGCTTCCCATCCATCTGGTACCCTGCTGCCCCCTCATATGACACTAGCGTAGGCAGTGCTTGCCTCTCCTGCCCCACTTGATTGCACGGATAATGTCGGCTGTAGCTCTTCTTATTCACTGGTGCTGGCGTTCGCCCAGGCTCCAGTATATCGCTCAGCTTCCGCCCCCCTGCTCTCCGTACCCCCTCTATCTCCTTCTGCAGGTCTTCCGCTGGCACCACATTCTGCCAGTACATCCTGAGCCTGTGTGCGTAAGCTCCCATCCGTGTCGCGTCGCAGCTCACTCCCTTTCCCACCTGTCTGGTCACTCGCTCCCTTACTACTCGTATGGGCTCGCGCACATCTCCTTCCATGTCTAAATGCTCCAGCAGGTAGGCCACCCTGCTTTGTCGAGCCTGCAGCCACTCCAGAATTTTGAACAAGTCCTCCATCAGTTGTGTCCGTAGGTCTTGCTCACCCTTGCCCTTCCCTGCCCATGATACCCCTTGGCATTCCCATCCCGCCACCAACAAGTCCACGTGCCCCCAGCTCGCCACCTCAGCCTCTGTGATGGCCCGTACATCGTGCACTCCTCTACTCATTGCTGCCTTGATCACTTCTTCCTTCAACAGCTCCGGGAACTCGCGGTGCAGCTGCCATGCGTGATGTTCCGCCATTTTCCTTGCTTTTGCCGCCTTCTCTACGTAAATCCACTGCTTCATTGCGATCCCGTTCCGCACCACTGCTGCCAACCCCGCCCCTATACCCCCAAATAGTTCCACCAGGCGGATAGGTTGCTGCCAATCAGTCTGCTGGCTAGGCTCGTCCATGAAGCGCATCCTCAGCTCTCTGCCCTGTCCCTTGCTTGTCGTGCTCTCCTGTGCCCCCTGCTTCGCTGTCATTTCCTTCAGATCCGCCCTGTAGGCCCGCTTCGGCTCTGTCTTGACGAACTGCACCGGCAGCTGTCCCAGTGGCTCACCCTTCCTCCACCACCTGGTCCTGAATTCCACCGTCTCCCTCCAGAAGCAGATGGTCATGCCCAGTGCAAAGATCATCTCCGTGCCCACCAAAACGTCGAAATCTTCAGATTCTGAGATCCCGCACCTGATCCTGACCGGCGTTTCGTGCTTCTCTCCTTTGAGCACCGTCAGTTCAATTGGAGTCCTTGTACATGGCATCCACTTTGACTCTCCTCCCTCTGCTGTCATCACCAGCATCCCCTTCACTACATGTCTGTCCGGTGCCCACAGTCCCAGCTTCTCGGCCATCCCCTTCCCTAATATCACGCTCTGCGCGCCAGTGTCTATGATAGCCGTCTTGGCCTTCTCCCCTTCCACCGACAGCGCGCCTCCTTGTATCAGCAGCACGGAAGTCTGGCACGCCAGCCGCTCCCGAGGGTGCCGTGCTGCTGTGCACCTCTCTTTATTCGCTTCCGGTTTCTGTCCTTTCTCTCGTTCCTTCCTCACCTGCTCCTTCCGTGCATCCCTTCCCCCGCTGCGCAGCCCCATCTCCTCCCTTCCTCTCCATGCCATGTATGCTGGCTGCTCCTCGTGTTCCACCTCATCCTCCGCTCTTCCTGCCCAGCTCATGAATGCAGCTTCTTCATCCTGCTCTACATCCTCCTCCTTTTCTTTCTTAGCGTACATCCCCGCTTCTGCCTCGCGTCGTGGTCCCATTGCCTGCAGCTGAGCCTGTAGCTTGCCAATCTGCCTTTCCAGGTCCTCTGGTGTCCTCCTCGCTGCTCCCTCCCGCTGATAACACTCCCTCGTTGCATGCCCTCCCTTCCCACAGATGTCACACTTTGGCGCCGTTGGGCATTCCCGCCGCCGGTGTCCGGGCTTACCACAGGAGTCGCAGTTCTTGTAGTCTCTGCGCAAGTGCCCTGGCTGCCCGCATCGGTGGCACGTCCGTATGTCAGTCCTGTTATCCCCTCTTCCCCCTCCTCTTTCCTTTTCTTCTGGTATCATGGCTGCGGCCCACGTAGGTCCTCTGCCTCGCTCCACTGGGCGTTGCCGGTAGGCTTCGAGCTTCCTCTGGGCCATCTCCATCTTCTCTGCTAGCTCGAATACTTCATCAAGCGTCACGTCAGCCCCCCTCTCGTACACTTTCAGCCGCAGCCCGCTTCCCAAAGTACCCTCCAGGCCGTCCAGAAACTTACTCACGAGCAGGGCCGTGTCCGCGCAACTCACATCCTCTGCCAGGTTAACCAATCGGTTGTAGTAGGTGAGTAGTGACTCGCCCCGCCCCTTCCTGAAGTCCTGAAACTCTCTTATCTTCTCCGCGGTGTGGCCTGGGAACTGCCGTTTCAGCCGTCTTAGGAATGCCTCCGTGGGGTCTTCCCCATACCTCCCTGCCTTCTCCAACAGCTCATCCATCTTCATCCTGTACAATGTCTCTGCCTCCCCTTCCAGTGTGTTCGGCAGGCTCAGGAAAAAGTCTACTGAGTCCATGCCGCTCCTCTCACATCGGTACCGCACATTGCCCACTTGCATGAGGTAGTTCTTCAGCGTGGGCCCCGTGTGCTGATCTCCTGAGAAGCGTGTAGGCACCTCCACCCTCATGCCCACGGCCGTGCCTCCCCTTCCTTCTCCCCATGCCTCGCTCGGCCCTCCCACCGATCTCCCTGATGCTCCCCTTCCTTTTGCCCGCTGTAGGCCCTCCCTTGCTTCCTTGGCTCGCTCCAGGCTGTGCACCAGCCCACTGCTTTCTTCTCTATCGCCATGTTGCTCCCGCCCTCCCTGTCCGGCACATCTTCCGTCGTGCTGCCAATACCGGCCAGGCGATCGAGACCCACCACCGCGCCTCCCATCCCTGCTCTGCCGCCGATGCGGTGAGCGATATCCGCCTCCCCGGCTTTCCCCATGACGCAGGCGCCAGTCGGGCGAGTGCGCCTTGTCTCCCCACTTCTCTCCACGGTACCGTTGCATGTCCGGCGAGCGATTGCCTCCTCCGCGTCTCTCATCACGCGAGTAACGAGGCTCTGGCAAGCGCGAATCCCCTCTGCTTCTCCCGTCGCGCTTTCTCCGCGGATCTAGTGAGTGCGTGCTGCCCCCGCGCCCACTGTCCCGGTGTTGCCTCGAATCTGGCGAGTGGTATCCACTTCCGTGTCTCCTCTCATGCAGCGGCCACGGATCTGGCGAGCGCATGCCGTCCCCGCGTCCCCCATCACGAGTGCGCCGCGGATCTGGCGAGCGCACGCCGTCGCCGCGTCCCCCATCACGAGTGCGCCGCGGATCTGGCGAGCGCACGCCGTCGCCGCTTCCCCCATCACGAGTGCGTCGCGGATTTGGCGAGCGCACACCATCGCCGCGTCCCCCATCACGAGTGCGCCGCGGATCTGTCGAGCGCATGCCGTCGCCGCGTCCCCCATCACGAGTGCGCCGCGGATCTGGCGAGCGCACGCCGTCGCCGCGTCCCCCATCACGAGTGCGCCGCGGATCTGGCGAGCGCATGCCGTCGCCGCGCCCCCCATCACAAGTGCGCCGGTGATCTGGCGAGCGCACGCCGTCGCCGCATCCCGCGTCGCATTGCTGACGCAAATCTGGAGAGCGCGAGCTGCTGCTACGCCTCTTGCTGCCACGCTCGTCTCCGTTGCGCGGCGGGTTTTGAGCACCACTCGTTCCGTCCGCCTCCACCGCGCTTGTCTCTGCCGCCACGCTCGCCTGCGCGAGATCTGCTTCTGTTGCTTCTGCAGGCACGTCGCGCTGCTTGCTCACGTCCTCCTTCCGGCCGTCGGCGCCGTTCTCCGCCGCATCGCCGTGCTCGGACTCCTGCGAGGTGTCCGCCGCGTCGCTTTCTTCTACTCCGCCAGCGTTGAGGTCTCCCTCTCGGCCCGAAAACAGTCCTTCCAAGCCTCGCCCGCGCCTCCGATCTTTGCGACGGCGATAACTTGCATCCGGCGAGCGATACGCTCCCGTCTCCTGGCGATATCCCAGATCGCCACCCCCATGGCGCGTTTCCGTCCGCCACGGATCACTCCTCACCATGGCCGATTCCGATCCGCCGGCTCTTCCTTGTGCAGATCCTTCCTCTCAGCGTTCATGCCCGAGAGGCACCTGATCCGCCCGAAAGGCAGGCCTTCGCGGCGATCGATCTGGCCTCCGCGGAGACCGCTCCAGCGACCGCCCACGCTCGCGGGAGTGTCCGCGCCGTGAGCGATCCTGCTCATGCCGACTATACGTCCGGCCATAACGCACGTCGTACCCGTCCATGCTTGCACGCACGCAGAATGCTTTCCGTTTGTTATGAAAGTGACGAGACTCTCACCTCAATGGTCCTCCCTTAGTGGGTGTCACCAAACGCAAGGCTAGAGGTAACCAGAATCCACTATACGAAAGGATAACAAACGGAAAGCATTGTGTGTGTGTGTGAGAGTGAACTTACCTGTCCCTAGCTCGAGCCGTGCATTTCTCAATGTGCGGCTCGGGCCTGGGTGGGTTTGTTCCCATTCGTCGCGAGGATTTCACCCCTTGGTGATCTCCTACCGACTCCGCGTCAATTTCCCAGCCCCCCACCTACTTATCCTTGAGGCTGCATACACCAAATACAACACATCACTACACCCGTCCTACACCTTAATCATACTGGCACCTTATATGCACAACCGTGCATATTCGGTGACAAAGAAGGGTTCAATAAAGAGCAAAGGTACAAAGATATAGGCAAGAACTAGGGTAATGAGGTGCACCACCAAACGGGAAACATAACTACACTAACACTACAGACAATTATATAAATATGAATAACATATTTCGACACACCCCCATAATTGTTTGCAGGTGTGAGTGTAGTAACGCCCCCTAAAGAGGGTACACCATGCAGAGTGCAGCTGAAGTAGCAGCAGTAGGCAGGAGCAGTGACAACCATTGCAGAAAACAGAGAACAGAAGGGAGAGAGGAGAGATAGAGGGAGAGAGAGGAGAGGAGGTGGTAGACTCTGGTTGGTCACCCCCTACATCCCCTCACCCTCCCCCTCCCCCTCCCCCTCCCCCCCACACTGCTGCAGGAGCAGCAAAGGGGGGGCGAACGGAGGAGGATGGGAAGGGGAGACCACACATCACCCATCATCCCCACACCTGCCACCCCCAGTCCCTCTCCGGGCTCCCCCACACCCTCACACCCTCCCCCCCAGCGGCAGCTGCAGCAGAGGGAGCAAAAGGAGGAGGAGAGGGGAGGGGGGGGGGGGGGGGGGGGCGACGCACGGCCTCCCCGGGCGCCAAAGCAGGCGGCAGAGGGGGCGACGCCTGCCCCCCCCTTCCAGGTCGCCGCGGCCCCCTCAGGTCGCCTCGACAGGTGACGGGAAAAGGGGGGGGGGGGGGGGCGGTGCACGTGCCCCCGGTGTGCCGCAGCTGGCGACGGGGCATGGCCGGGGCGGGGTCGGGGCCGCAAGTGGGCGGGGCCATAGGTAGGCGACGGGGCCGCAGGTGAGGGCGGCGGGGCCGCAACCGAGGGCGGCGACGGGCCGCAAGTGAGGGTGGCGACTGGGCCGAAGCTGAGGGCGGCGTTGGGGCCGCAGGTGAGGGCGGCGACGAGCCGCAGGTGAGGGCGGCGACGGGCCGCAGGTGAGGGCGGCGACGGGGCCGCAGATGAGGGCGGCGACGGGCCGCAAGTGAGGGCGGCGACGGGGCCGCAGCTGAGGGCGGCGGGGCCGCAGCGAAGGGCGACGGGGCCGCAGTGAAGGGCGGCGGGAGGGCCGCGAAGGGGCCGCGAGGGGCCAGAAAGGGCGGCAACGGGGCCGCTAAGAAAAAAAGGATAAGGGGCACGCCACGGGGCGTGCCGAACACAGAGTAGCAGCGGAAGCTTTAGGGTGGGCCCACAGGTCAGGATCTTGGTCGCTCTGATACCATGTGAAAGATCTAGCAAGGCTAAGGAGCCATAGCTAGTAGGTCGAGTGAGTTGAGTATCGAGCAAGTTGAAAAGTCGAGAGTGAAGAAGGGTTCAATAAAGAGCAAAGGTACAAAGATATAGGCAAGAACTAGGGTAATGAGGTGCACCACCAAACGGGAAACATAACTACACTAACACTACAGACAATTATATAAATATGAATAACATATTTTGACAGGTTGCTACTTTTATCCCTATGTATGTTCATTCGCTGTCTCACTAACATTATGATGTACCATTTCATACTGTTTTAAAGTTATGTACGGTATTTCACATTTCCCATAAAGGGAATATGGGAAAGTAGTTTTACCATGGATTCGGCTAAACATTGTTGTGGTGCTAAACATTGTGGTGTTTCTTCTGAATTGCATCTGGAAGCAGTTTTTCTATTTGCAAAACTGTAGCATATAACAAGAGCAGCTTTTACACGGTCAATACCGATCACCTGCATGCCTGCCAACACTGCAGCTCCTCAATTGAGTTGACCGAGGATTCCTCCGCATCCTCACCTCACTGAGCTTTTTCCGTTTCTGCTTCCTACTGATTACCTCTACCATGGATTGAATCCTTACCTCACCAATCACGACCTTGCTCCTCTGTTCCCGTCACGCGAGTCACTTCGATCCAGCCTGGAACGACCCCGGTTCCGAAGCGCGCATTCCCAGCTGTGACGCGAGGAGCCTAGAAAGGTAATGGTTCAATGTAAGCATCAACTGCGTTTTCTCGACGTTGCCATTCGTCCTCAACGATCGTACCCTTTTCAGGTCATTCCGTCCTCAGTCAAGGCTACCTCCCTGCTGTAGTATTTTAGCAGCCAGTAGCTTGTCCCGATCACTCACGCCTCTTGAGTTCTTCGCCATCCTCGAGTCACCATGGGCTCCTGTGGCTTGCTATTCCCGCTGCTCTGCGTCCTTGCTTTTCTTCCGTTTAGCTATGGCTCCGTGCAGGAAGGTTCAGTATTCACGTTCAAGCTTCGCCATCAGCACACAGTTTCAGCAGATAACCGGCCTATGACCTTCGGCTCTTACAAACAGTGGCTGGAAAAGCAGACGCAATCACGAGCAGCGGTTATTTTGAGACGCATTCGCAAGGTGCTGATGCCTACCTGGCACGCTCCATCCTTCAACAGTATCTGTTCCGTTATTCAATGCCTTCACTTGTTATTTGTCTGATTCTGCACAGGGAGCTAAGACTTCCGGATCTAGAAGGCTTCAGGGAGGAGGTCAGGAATCAACCCTTCCGATCAATGGAGGCGTTGAGCAACTGGGGTAGGTCACCAGTCGTCCGTTTATTCTTCGAATATGATCTACATATGTGTCCTGACGCAGCCCGTTTCAACAGGTCCTATTACGTTACACTGCAGCTGGGTTCTCAGAAAGAATCATTGAACACCATCATTGACACTGGAAGCGACCTGTTGTGGGTCAGGTGTACTGGCTGTGCAAACTGCCCTCCAGATACAAGAGTAAGGGATTTGTTCGAAAGCATAAGAATTTGCATGATGGCAAAGACCTGACTTCCACGTTGTTCTACATTTCAGGCTCGGTCGTTCAATGCTCAACAGTCAACGACTCGTCAGAGGATTGATTGTGCTGAGTGCAAGGCGATCAATGAGACCACTTGCGCTGGTCCATATCGGGCGGGGTGTGGAATCGGCTGCACGAGGCTGGGAGTTCGAGGTCGTTGCATTGCTGGATGCGGGTATGTGGAACTTATTTATTCATCTCTCGCTTGATTCAGGTGTGTGGTTAGAGTTTTCACAACATCGTGTTTGAACAGACCCAGTGGCACAAGTCGCTGCAATTATGCTGTCATCTATGGTGATGGAAGCTACACGGGTGGAGTTGTGATGCGTGATGTCTTGACTCTCCCTGGCCGCCCAGCAGAAATATCAGCACCGGTTGCCTTTGGGTAATCAGAGTTATGTTTTGGATAGTTTACATCATATGCGGACCAGATAACTAACCCCCCGGTTGTTGCTTTCAGTTGTGACTTCCATGAGTCCCAAGGGCTTCTCAAAGATCCCTTGATTGGCCTGGTTGGCCTTGGCCAAAGCCCTCTATCCATTCCTTCACAGCTAGCGCAAGAGGGAGTTCTTCAGGGAAATATAATCTCACATTGTTTGGGTGGAGAGGATGGTGGCGGATTTATAACCTTTGGCGCGCCTCCTATGGCTGACTCGAGCATGCAGTTTGTCCCTATGGGGAATGACACCACGTAAGTAACTATGTCACAAATGTCCAGGTCCAGGCTGGACCCGTTTGTTCTCTCTGACATGTGTGTGTGTGTTGATGTGCAGGGTGTACAATGTGACGATATTTGGTATTCAGGTGAATGGTATGGATCTGCAAATTCCTGCTGGCACATTTTCTGGAACTGGTGGTATCATTGACAGTGGCAGCACTGCGCTCACGCTCCCAGAAGCAGCGTACACTCCCCTCAGAGAAGCAGTAGGTTCTCTTTAAGGTTTTCATGCCCTTCGCCTTCAATTTTTCATGTCTGTTGGGTGTTCTTGATTATCATTGGGTCATGAACTTTATTCGATGCAGGTTATCCAAGCTGTTGATGGGAAAGCTCAAAGACTTTCTCAGGAAGAAATCAATCAGCTGGCTGGTGGGAATGTTGCATCTGTATTGAATCTGTGCTACAATGTCTCTTCAAGGTATTTGTCTTGTCTTCAGTTTTTTATGCATGTCATTCTGTTTATGTACTAAGCATACCACTGTGTTCTACTCCAGTGATACAGCAACATTGCAGTCAGCATTCCCGACAGTGGCAATTGTGATGAATGGTGCCAACCTGGAGTTACCACCCCAGAACTACCTATGGCTGTTTGTGAGTACCCACGCCCTGCCTGCTACCATATGGTGTGTGTAGTATTTGCTGAGATAACGCTGTTTGTTTGCTTTGTTTTTTTTGTTTTTTGTTTTGTTTTTGTTTTTTGCTGGCCTGCAGGACAATTTGGTGTGCTTCTGTGTGTACGACTCGAACAGTGTTGTGGGCCAACCTATTACCATAATTGGAGGTATGATACTGAGGAATCTTCATCTCTCGCACCCATGCCTTAGCGTTTTGGCTCTCGTCTGACATGCTTTCCAAATTTGTGCATGCAGATGTAGCTATGCGTAACAAGCTGGTTGTGTATGATAGAGGGGCAAGAAAGATGGGGTTTCAGACTCTGGATTGTAAAACTGCCTAACTTTAATTCAGTTTAATGTGATATGCTTTTTTGCCAAGAGGAATGACATAATTCAGTTATAGATAATCTGGAGATGTGTTTGTGAAGAGTCAGATTTCACTTGGCTGTCACATTCGCGGTCTGGCATCAAATCTCGCTTGACCTGACCATACCACTTGGGGTGCCGTACCGTGTTGGAGCATCACAGAAGTCAACGCAATGCCCAGTAGTTGTACTATTTTGGTGTCGAATGTTCCTATATTAGTAGTATAGAGACTGGCGAAGTGAGGATCTCAGTGTAAGTTCGAGTCCGAAGTTGGTAGCAGCCTTCGCGACGTTTAGTATTCACCTCTGATCCACCTGATGCGTTTCGCATGATGGAAACAGTAGCGAATCTCGAAGCAGAGCTGTACCGCGTACGGAGAGACCGACGCTTGCTGCTCTCAAACCTATTAACGTCGCTAGCGGCGACTGGCTGGGCAGATTCGGACCTGGACAGAATCAATGTGGATTACATCCTATGGTGCGCTACGTCAGGTACACAACACAAGTTTCATTGTAGGATTCGCCTTCGCCTTCTTCTAGGCTACACCGGTTGAATGAGTTGTGAGTGCGTTGAATGGCGCTTCGCCTACTTTCCGACTCATATTCGTTACGAAGGTTTGCTCTGTTATCGTCGGGTCTGTACCCGTGAAGACCTTATTCGTTTGTTCGACCTTTTCGTATCGGCTCTTGATGCATACTGCTTCCGTTCGACCTTTCAGGGACGCGCGTGGATATAAAAGCAGCCATTTCAGCCCAACCAACGGTCACTCCGAGGGGTGAGGTGAGAGCTGGACTCGTCTTCCTCGTGTTTCTTTCATTCAATGTCTCAAATGGCTGTATATCATGATAACTGCGGTAGTATGTTCTTGACTCCTGTACACGATTGGATGCTCGGCTTCAGATCTGATCCAGTGGGCCACAGGGAAACGAAGCTCAAAACCAACCTAATTCCTGTTGCCTCTCAACCTCTCCGCATCCCACTCAACTCCGCCTCCCAGGCAGACTTCGTCACAGCCTCCACAGTCATTCTCTCGTCCACAGAGCCCTCCGGCCCTCCGCCTGCTCGCCTCGCTCCCGCCTTTCCAGTCCCCTCTCGCACAGTTCCAGAGTTTTCTGCTCCTCCTCGCCTGCCTCCTGAACCCCACCATCCCCGGCCAGCCTCAGACTTCGCCTCTGCTGCTGCATACGCTCCTCCTGCTCCCGCGGCGCCGTCGTTCCGTGCTGCTGTCCCTTCAGCTGCTCCCGATCGTGTCCCGAACCAATCTTCTAAAACTCACGCATCCGATTCAGCAGCAGCAGCAGCAGAAGCAGCAGCAGCAGGCGGAGCAGCAGTCGGAGGAGCAGCACGGGGAGGTTGGGGAGCAGGACGTGCAAAACCACCAGCCAGAGCCGAGCCAGAGACCCTCCTAGCCCCCCCTCGGCCTCTCTTCCCGCTCTCTCCCCCAGCCCAGCAGCATACCCCAGATTCGCCTCCCCCAGTCAAGCCTAAGGCGCAACAACTAGCCAAGAAGCTGTTTGCCACTCCATTCGCGTCGTCACCTGAAGGCTATTCCACTGAGAGTGATGTTCGCTGCTCCACAGGGACAGATGTGACAGGGGCGCTGAACTGGGGGGGATGGGGACAAGTGGGCGCGAGTGGCTTGGAGTGTGAGGGGGAAAGGTTCGGAGAGGGAGCAGCAGAAGCGGCAGCAGCAGCAGCGGCAGAAGCAGAAGCAGCAGCAGCGGCAGCAGCAGCAGCGGCAGGGGCGGCAGGAGTAAGAGGAAGAGGAGGAGGAGGGGGAGAAGACGCAGGAGGAAGAGGACTGAGGGAAAGCGTAGGAGGGAGCGATGGAGCACGGGAGAGAGTGGCAGTGGCAGGGTCGGTGGAATCAGCTTCGGTGTTTATGGCTTACTCTTCCTCTGCCTCTTCTGTTCACTCCATGTACGCCCTCTCCCAGGGCTCACCGGGCACACCAGAAGCAGCTGGAGCAGCTGGAACTGCAGCAGAAGCAGCAGCACCAGCAGCAGTAGCGGCAGCAGGGGCCATTGATCATGAAAACCAAAAGCCCTCTTCTGTTCACTCCATGTACGCCCTGTCCCAGGGATCAACGCGCAGACCAGAAGCAGCTGGAGCCGCAGCAGCAGCAGCAGCAGTTGCTGCGGGTGTTGCTGCTAGGGAAGCTTCAGCAGCAGCAGGAGGTGCACCAGATGCAGCAGCAGCTTGGGGAGGCCAGCCTTCCCCAGGTAAGCCCTCCCCAGCATCACCGTCCAGTTTAAATCACCCAAACGCCTCAGCATCGGGGTTTCCACACGATGTTATGGGTACCCCAAGTCCAAACCCCATCCGGCCACTGAATTCGAGCCCTGTCAAGACACCAACACAAGAAAAGCCTTCATCGCTGCAGCTGCAAGGTCCTGACAGCCCTGCTCGTACTCCGTATCAGATTCGTTCCCCTCAGCCACTCTCCCCTCGTTCACCTGCAAGCGCCAGCAGGAGCCCTGCTCCCTCCCAACCATCACCTCAGTATGCCCAAACCCCACCGCGTGAACCACTCTATCCTCCTCCTTCCCCTGTCGGAGGCAGCAGGAGTCCTATTTCCGCCGAGCCTTCACCACGGCCTGAAACTCGATACGAACCCTGCTCGCCACCGCCTGAACCACTCTACCCTCCTCCCTCCCCTACAGGAGGCAACAGGAGCCCTGCTTCTTCCCACCGATCTTCTGCTCCCCGATCGGCAGCAGCTGCAGCTGCTCTGAGTGCCCTCGGTGCGGCTACTCTGGCAGCAGGAGGCCCTCCTCTTGCTGCTGGCACTCCTCCTGTAGATGCACAGACCTACGCTCCCTATTCCCATGGCCCATCACCACATAGATATGGTTCGGAGAGTGTGACAAGTAGTGGAACAGGTGGGGGGCGTGAGTCGGCTGTTAATAGCAGGGGTGGTGGCAGTGCTGGTGGGGTTTCTGTGGCCAGCAGCGGGCATGGGTTTGGTAATGCAGCAGGTGCTGATGTGCAGATGAGTGGCGGTGGGAGTGCTGCTGCTGCTTCTGCTGCGGCTTCTGCAGCTGTGGTTACTCCACCGGTCCCAACCCGGCTGGATTTCCAGTCTCCTGTTGGGGAACCACGAAGCAAGAAGAGCGAGAGTGGGAGAGGCAGAGCCGAGGAGTCTGGAGGGAAGGGGAGCGTCCTGGGATCTGCCTGGAGGTCTGGTGGATCGAATAAGAAGCTGCCACCTGGCACTGATGGGGAGCGGTGGAATGATGACGAGGACGATGATGACGTGGCATCGTCTGATTCGTCCTCGTGTTCGGATTCGTCTGAGATGTCTTCCACGCTTGTGGCGGGCGGTGGCGAGGACTCGCCAGCTGGCACAAGAGATGGAGACTCTGCCAGCTCAGCAAGGGGGCGGCTGAAGTGGCCTTTGCGCCAGCTGGCATCGGGGCTGACAGCAGAGGAGCTTCAAGCAAGTGCCTATGAGGTGCTGCTGCTTGCAGCAGCGGAATCCGGGTGAGTTTGCGTCACTTTTCAAGAGTGAGAGCTTTCGAAAGAGACACAAGCAAGCGCTCATGAGGTGCTGGTGCTCGTGAGACGTCTCAAAACACTCCTTTTTGCAAGAAGCTGGCGACTCAACTCGAAGCAGCCAAATCTGTGCTCTCATCAGGTCTACTTCCTCCGCGTCCCTCTCCCCTCCCCGCCCACTCCAGGCTTGTGTCTGCACCAGCGCCTGGTGCCACCAGTGCAGCCAGCAGCGGCAGCAGCAAGAGCAAGCCCTGGCGGCCTGAATCCCCCGTAGAGCCCAAGTCCAAGTCCCCAGGCGGCTTCATGTCCCGCTTTGCCAAGAAGGTCGGGGTCAACGTGGGGCAGTTTAAGGGAGCCAAACCTGCTGCTGGCATTGCTGCTGCTGGTGGTACTGGTGGCGGTGGCGGTGGTGGTGGTGGGGGTGGTGGAGAGAGGGGGATTGGGGATGGGAGTGGAGGGGAGGGAGGAGGAGGAGCCCTGTCCCCGGAGCTGGCTCGCATGCGGCAGCAACTAGGGGTACGTGATCGGCGCTTCTCCTGCCTTGTCTTACCGTACGCTTGCCTTTTCCTACCATTCTTTCCCTGCATGCATCTGCTTCTTTCCAGTCTCTGTTCTTCCCATGTTTTCTCCTCCCCAGGAGTTGTTTTTTTTTCAACTTTCAATCTGCAAGTGCTTATTCCGTCCCCGGTATCTCCCCATCACGCTCCCACCTATGGCAGGTACCCGAGTCTCTCCACGCTCTCCTCCTCTCAGCCCTCTTCTTCCCACCCCCCTCACATACCGTCGAAATGCCATCCCCCATCAGCCCCCTCATCGGTGCAGCAGCAGCAGCAGCAGCAGCAGATCATCCTGCCTCTCTTCATTCTCTCTCCATTCCTTTCCCCTGCCCTTCCCTGCTTCCCTCTCCCCCTTTTCCACAGGTACCCGAGTCTCTCCAAGCTCTCGTCCTCTCAGCCCTCTTCCTCCCACCCCCATCACACACCGTCGAAATGCCATCTCCCATCAGCCCGCTCACCGGTGTAGCAGCAGCAGCAGCAGCTGCCGCCATTCCTCCCCTCCCGCTCCCGCTCTGCCTGCTCCTCCACTTCTCCCCCATCCCCGCCTCCCTTTCCTCCTCCTTCTCCCCTGGAGTTGGTGCTCTGAAGGCCGCTGCTTCTTCTCTCGCTGCGTCATTCTCCAATCTGTCGCCAGACCTCCGTAGAGCTTTCTACCACAGACAGGTGTGCAAGTCTGTATTTTTCTCTTGCTCTTCTTGTTTTTGTTTGTTATTGTCCCGTATTTGCTTGTGTGTGTGTGTGTGTGTGTGTGCTTGTGTGCGTGCGTGCCCGCATGTGTGTGTGTGGTGTAAACACTGGACTTTCCTTTGTGCCACAATTCCAGTCGACTTGCCTCATTCCATTTTGGCCCCACAGGCTCTACCGCTGCATGATCCCCTACCATTTCGCTTTTCCGCCCCCATTCCAGGTGAAGCTGCTGCAAGAACTGCTGTTGGACGCCACAGGCAATGCAAAGCCACAGGGCACAGGAAAGGGAGGAGCGGGAGGAGCAGGAGGAGCAGGAGGGGAGGCACAGGGTGGGGATGATCGTGCTGAGGTGGCAGCCGCCCTGGATGCCATGCTGGCACTTGTAAAGGTGAGCTGGACGCTGACTCACTCGCGGCGCACCCCCTGCACGCCCATATCATCAGTCAGTCCGTCTGATAGATGCTCAGCTCACAGTGAAAGCTGCCCAACCTCTATTTTAGGCGCCTCAAAGACTCATATCACCAGTCTGTCTTTTACGTGCTCAGAGTGAGAGCTGCCCAAACTCATTACAAAGCTTGCATTGCCCCCTTTTTCATATTTTCCCTCGTTTCCCACATTTCCCTCTCACCCCACCCCCCACTAGTTACCACTCATTTTCACTCACCCTATCTCTCTCCCCTGACTTCTTCTCCTCCCTCTTCCCCTCACCATTTCTCTGCTGCGAGCTTCGCTGGCTTTTTTTATCCTCTGCTCCTCCCCTTTCACCTTAATCCACTTTCGCCATCCTTTCCCTTTCCAGGGTCACGAGTTCATCACCTCGCCTCCCTCCTTTGAGGCCAAGTGGAGCCGGAAGCTGAGCGAGTTGCGCTGGCTGATCCTATCCTCTGCTCCTTCTCTCTCAACCGATTTCACTCGCTCCTCTCCCTCTCACCCTATCCCTCTCCCCCCATGCAGGGTCACGTGTTCATCACCTCCCCGCCCTCCTTCGAAGCCAAGTGGAGCCGGAAGCTGAGCGAGCTGCTTTTGATTCAAGCCCACTCCCTCTTCCCCTCCCCCTCCCTCCCACACCCATCCAGGGTCACGAGTTCATCACCTCCCCGCCGTCCTTCGAAGCCAAGTGGAGCCGGAAGCTGAGCGAGCTGCGCTGGCTGCTGGTGGGGGGATTCGCCTGGGGCGGCAGGAGAGGAAACGCAGCAGCACTGGCCGCAGCAGCACTGGCCGCAGCAGCAAGCCACAATGCTGGCGGTGGTGTGAGGCAAGGGAAGCAGCTACCGGTGCTGCCTGGTGCCTGGTGTCCCACCCGAGCGACCTTCAACGCATCTCTGTACCATCAGCTGCTGTCCGCCTGCTGTGACCCCTCCGATTCAGCCTCTTCCATCGACCTCCTCTTTGTAAGTCCCTTTGGGAAATTGTTGTTGTGTTGCTGTCGGCCTGCTATCGGCCTGCTGTCGGCCTTCTTTTGCCCTGCTCTATGCCTGTTGCTCGCTGCCCGCTGCTGTCCTGGTGCCCCATTGAAGCCAGCCTGAACGCGTCTCTGTTCTGTACCATCAGCTGCTGTCCGCCTGCTGTGACCCCTCAGATTCGGCCTCTTTCATTGACCTGCTCTCTGTAAGCTCAGCTCAGCTAAGCACAGAATACAAAGACGACACGTCTGAGCCGTGTCTTGCTCAGATCCGAGGGCACCTGCATTGTGAGTCTATTTTTGAGTCGACTCAGGAATGTGCTCAGAGGGCACCTGTGTCGTGCTCTTGCTCTCCCCCCTCATTGCTCTTCCCCACCTTGTTCTGACATAACACCGTGTTTGTTCTTCCCTTCTCTCTAATGGCCCTTTCATTGATAGTCAAGGTGTACAGACATGCAAGGTATGGGTCATCACGTACGTGGGGCTAATAGAGAATACAATTCCTATTCACTCCGCAGCCCAACACCCTCTAAGTAAGATCCAGTGCAGGATCAAGAACCGAGAGGCAGTCCCCAAGGGACGGTGCCTCCCCCACTGCCTCTAGTAGCGGGTTTTCAACCGCTGCTGCTATGCTGCACTTTTCCAGGTACCCAATCGACTGCCCCCGTTGAAGAGCCACCGACCACCGCTGCCGGTATTGGTGTAAGAGCTTGGCAGCTTGGTAGGAGGTTGGCTCGGCGTTGAAGAACCGCCGTGCAGCCGTTTCTGCGAGGAGTTTCAGGAAGTCCACTGACTCGGGGCATGGGCACCCGTATGTCTCGACCGCTAGTGGGAAAAACTTCACCCAGTCTGGGCGGTCCTTGTAAAGGCCGTGTTTCTTGTCTGCCGCCTTCTCTCTCTCTCTCTGTCTTACAATCTGCAGGAGATGGAGGAGAGAGTTGAGGCCCTCAGGCCCACGTGGCACTCTCTGGGAGTGACACCTGTCACGCACAGCGCCCTGCAAGCTTGGACCCTCTGCCAAAAGGTATGCTTGCGGTGGCTGTCTGACCAATGTTCATGAGTCCCACACTATTTTCCCACCGTCATCTCCCTGTGCAGTTCGATGAGGTCCTATCCTCATCCCCCGCTCGTCCTCTCTCTCATTCTTCCTTGCTCTCGCATCATGTCCCCTGTTCTCCCCCTCTCCTCCTCCATCGTCTCCCTCCTCTTCCAGGCTTCAGTTCCAACTCTCCCTCACCCGCTCTCATCACCGTCGCCAGCTGGCGGTCTGCCAGATCAGCAGCTGCAGCAGCAGCTTCTGCCAATCAGATCTGTGCTTCCGCTCATCTGCCAATCACTGCGCCGCCTCCCAACCACTGCCTGTGCACGACCATCGTCATCATCATCATCATCCGCAGCAGCAGAAGTAACAGGAACAGAAGCAGCAGCAGCAAAAGCAGTAGCAGCAGCAGATGGCAGAGAGGAACCTTCAGCGAAGGTTCTCCTTCACCCGTTCGTGCAGTCGGTGTCTCGCTTCCTGTCATCACTTCTAAGTGACTACCACCACACGCTGCTGGAGGTGAGTGATTAGTTTGTTTTTGAGTCACTCAAAAGTCTCCTTCACCCGTTCGTGCAGTCGGTGTCTCGCTTCCTGTCGTCGCTCCTTAGTGACTACCACCACACCCTGCTGGAGGTGAGTGTTAATCACTGCCCCATGTTTGAATCGACTTTTGAGTCGACTCAAAGGTTCTCCTTCACCCGTTCGTGCAGTCGGTGTCTCGCTTCCTGTCGTCGCTCCTTAGTGACTACCACCACACCCTGCTGGAGGTGAGTGTTAATCACTGCCCCATGTTTGAATCGACTTTTGAGTCGACTCAAAGGTTCTCCTTCACCCGTTCGTGCAGTCGGTGTCTCGCTTCCTGTCGTCGCTCCTTAGTGACTACCACCACACCCTGCTGGAGGTGAGTGTTAATCACTGCCCCAGGTTTGAATCGACTTTTGAGTCGACTCAAAGGTTCTCCTTCACCCGTTCGTGCAGTCGGTGTCTCGCTTCCTCTCGTCGCTTCTAAGTGACTACCACCACACACTGCTGGAGGTGAGGGATTAATTTGCTCCTTTGGCATCACAAAAGTAGAATCGTTGCTTTTAAGTGACTACCACCACACACTGCTGGAGGTGAGTGTGTTCTCACCCCCCAGGCTTGAATCCCTTAACCCGTGCAGCCATGCCCATGAGCCCATGTCCATATCTGGCTCTGTAGTCTGCTGCTCCTCTCACGTACCATACCCCACACGAATGCCTCACATCTCCCCTCCTCTCTCCGTTCTCCCTCCAACCCGCTCTTATTTCCAGGCGTCTAGCGCGACTAGCAGTACAGGCGCGAGTGCAGACGGATTGGCAGCACTAGAGTTTGCTCTGGACTCGTTTGTGCTGCTGTGACCTGCTTCATCAGTCCGCGCTTTTTCCCCCTCGTCTCGTCCCTGCCCCTGACCCGTGCCATTTTATCCTCTAATAATTTCCAGGCTTCCAGCAGCAGTGGCGCGAGTGCAGACGGACTGGCAGCACTGGAATCGGCTCTTGACTCGTACCTGTGCTGCTGCGACCTGCTGGAAGCAGGCAGGAAGAGGAGCAGCCGAAGACACACGGTGAGTGGGGTTCATGGGGAGTGGATGGGAGAAGGGAGGGTGGTGAAGATAGGGGAAGAGAAATGGGCAGTCATTTTTTCAGACCGCCTTGCTTCTGTGAGCAAGTTCAGGGAGGGTGGACCCTCAGTGTACCCTTTATCAACCTCTTAACTGCCACCCTGGATTTGCTCCTTCCCTTCTGAAGCCCAGAACCCGAAGCACCCTGTTTCACTCTCTTCTCTTCCGTCCTCTCCCCAGGCCCCAGGGGGACCACCGAGCATGGAGCGAGTGGAGGACGTACTCGAGTTTGTTCACACGTCAGTGCTCTCCTCCTTTGACCGCGCGTGCCTAGATGCTATGGCAGCAGCAGCAGCAGCGAAAGCCCAGAAAGACGCACAGGATCAGCACAATGACGGAAGCTCCTCCTTCTCTTTCCCAGACTCTTCCACAGACGGGCCTGCTTCGGATTTCAGAGCAGCAGGGGCGGGCGGAGAGGTGGGATTGGCTCAAATGGCTGAGCTGGCGAGTGTGATTATAGAGAGGGAGGCTGGGGGAATGGTTGGGGGGGTTGAAGGGCGAACAGGGAAGGGAGGTGGGAGGGGGAGGGGAGGGGGAGCGGAGGGAGGGGCGGCGAAGGGTGGATGTGTTGCGGTGTTCAGGCGGTTGGGGGTGTATGGGACAGCAGCAGTGGCGGCAGCAGCGTTGCATCAACAGCTTGATTCACAGCTGGTGGGTTGTGTGAGCTGCTTGGATGGCACAGCAGCAAGTCTCAGAAACGTTTTCAGGTGGCTGGGCCTGGGGCTATGATGCGAAAGACGCGTCCTGCGTCCTGGACGCATGCGTCCAGACGCATGCGTCCGGACGCAGGACGCTTCACCAGGACCAGAAAGACGCACCAAAAGACGCAGTCCCGGGCAGGCAAAAAAAAACCCCGGGCAGGCAAAAAAACCCCCGGGCAGGCAAAAAAACTTGTTATAGGGCATGGGATGAGGGGGGGGGGGGGGGGGGGGGGGGGGGGGGGGGGGGGGGGGGGGGGGGGGGGGGGGGGGGGGGGGGAACGTTCCACACTTTCAAGGCAACTTGGCCCCAACATCAAATTTTCCCCCAAATCTCAAGATTAAGGTGAGTCACGTATTGTCACACCATGTCCCAAGGTCACATGCACAGTTTATCGTATCACTGAGAACACGCATACTATTGAACTACCACCACAGCACTGCATGCAGGCAACCAGTCATCTCATCCCATTAATATGGTGTTTGGGCTTTTGCGGTTTCTTCTCCACCCCATCACTAGTGAAACGCTGCGGGGGAGACTCGTCCTCGGCATGAACATCCCTAGATGCGTTTGATGACGTAGGGTTGCTTGAGGAAGCCATAATGGAGCTAAGCTATGCTTGTAGGCTAAAACCTCTAGGGTTTTCGAAAGAGAATTGGTTGGGTGGGTGAAATGAGAAATGACTTGGTTGGATTGCTAAATGGGCTTGGTGGTAGGCACCTTGGTTGGGTTTTCTAGATGTGAAGTGGTTGAGAGGTATTTGGAATTCAATTGTTGCATGGGGGGTTATGAAATGTTGGGGGGGGGCTGTTTTTAATGTCGAATTGGGCAATGGGGGGGTCAAAATTTCGCAATTTCGACAGTCGCGTCAAAATCGCGAGATTGAAATTCGTAATCTGGAAAAAAAAAAAAAAAATCGGGGCAGCCCGAAAATTTTTCGATCTGCGTCCTGCGTCTGGACGCGCGTCTTGCGTCCTAGCGTCCAGACGCTGCGTCCAGACGCAGTACGCAGCGTCCTCTGAGCGTCTTTCGCATCATAGGCCTGGGGTGAGGGTATGCTTGTTTTCTTTGGACCAGCAGCAGTGGCAGCAGCAGCGCTACACCAGCAGCTGGATTCGCAACTGGTGGGTTGTGTGAGCTTGGTTAAAGCAATAGGCTTAGATCATTCTCAGAAACGATTTCTGCAAGTCGTTGGTGCTTCTTGTATCCATATCTTTTTCCTGTGTGCACCTCCGACCCACCAGGGCCGGTTCCTCGCAGTGGTATCAGAGCTGCACTGCACCCCGACTGCTGGAAGGAAGGCGTTTTCCCTCTAAACCCTCTCCATGCGTTCTCACCACATTCCACCATTCCCAACGTCTCCCCCCCTGTGTACTTCTGCTTATCCATCACTACCCATCAGGACCCGTTCCCTCTCAGTGGTATCAGAGCTGCACCCTGACTGCTGCAAGGTGTTTATCCTCCAACCCCTGTTCGTCCATTCTCACCACACTCCACCACTCCCAATGCCACCACCAGGACCCGTTCCTCTCAGTGGTATCAGAGCTGCACCCCGACTGCTGCAAGGTGTTTTACGCTGTGGATGCATTCGACCGGCGCGTGCAGCAGGTGGTGCAGGGGGAGGTGTGGGCGGAGGAGGAGGAGGCGAAGAAGAGAGCAGGAGAGGGGCATGGGGGATACGGGCATGCTTCTCAAATTGCCAGCGAGCTGAACGCTTACCAGGTAAGTCTATCTGGATGCATTCGACAGGCGTGTGCAGCAGGTGGTGCAGGGGGAGTTGCGGGCGGAGGAGGAGGAGGCAAAGAAGAGGCAAGGAGATGGGCATGGGGGATACGGCGATGCAGCCCACCCGGGGATTGCAAGCGAGCTCATCGCCTACCAGGTAAGCCCCCCTGTCGAAGGTGTCCGTAGCAGCTGTCAGGCAGAGAGCAGGAGTGGGAGATGGGCATGGGGGGATGCGGCCATGCTGCAAATATTGCAAGCGAGCTGAACCCGTACCAGGTAAGTCCTTCTATGACCTATCAGATGAGTGAGTAGGGCTCATCTGACAGCACCTGCCAGGCAGGCAGAGAGCAGGAGTGGGATAGATAGGGGAATGGGGGATACGGCTACGCAGCTCAGATTGCAAGCGGGCTGTTCACAGTTTGCTCATACCAAACCTCTTCACCCTCCCTTGTGGTTGTCGTGCGCCTGCCTGCCCTCAGATTGACCCCTGTGATGAAGCTTCTTTTGAGGCGCATGGGTGCCTAAATGACTATGATTATGTTTCTGCGTTTCCATCAGATTGACCCTGTGATGAAGCGTCTGTTCTCAGCCTGGGTGTCAGCGCAGCAGCAGAAGCTCCACGTGTGGATGGAGAGAGGAGTTGAGGCAGAGGTGAGAGAGGGGGAAGGGAGGAAGGATGAGGGGTGGAGCAGGGTAAATGCGAGGAGCAGGTGGGGTGGTGTTGCCGGCCTAATTGCCTAAACGTGCCTCAACGACTAATAAGTGTGGATGGAGAGGGGCGGGGAGCCCAAGGTGAGAGAGGGATCCGGTTTCTTTTTATGGACGAATTGTCTGCATTTCGGTTCTCCGTCTTTCCAGCTACTCTCAACCCCTTGCCCCACTTCTTCACCCGCTCGACTCATTCGCTCTTCTCACCCGCTCGCCTCGCCTCTCGCGCTGCTTCTGCTGCAGACGTTCGAGCCGGCTTCAGATACACCAAGCCCGGGCTTCTGCAGTGGATGCTGTGCGGCTGGTAGAAGAGGTGAGGCTTGGGTGGTTGTGGCGAGGTGTGCATTGGGTGGTGAGAGAGGTGGTGTGGTGTTGCCTGCCTATTGCCTACCTCTACAGGCGACAGCTGCGCTTTTATTAGGCCTTTCTATCCATACCTCAAGCACGGGGCGTCTGTGGTGGATGTAGTGTGGCTGGTGGAAGGGGTGAGGCTTGAGTGGTGGTGATGAGGGTTCGACTGGTGAAGGCCGCAATTGTGACTCGGTAGCTTT